AAACCGTGAATGTCTAAAATGTCTCTAATGATTGACTAAACGTGGATTTGTGGGTGAGTCATGGCATTTGCTGCTGGTACGTAATTTGCTTAGAGTGAATAACTTTCGTTAACTTGCAAAAAAGCATTTTTACTATGGAGCCAACTCAAACTACTTATGTAAAAAGCGAAAATGTCACTTTAACAAATAGACAAAAGCCAGCACACTAGCAACCGTTGAGCCACACTAATTACTCAACCAAAAAATTGTAATTTTTTTGCAATATAGTACTCATTTAATGTTTTCAGTAACACGTTCTTACCAGTTGGTAACGAGGGTAGATTAGAAGGGTTGTATTAATGTTTAATTTAAGCTAGAACTGTTTTCAAATGCCAAATTGAAAGTTTTGCCTGAGCAGATTCTAGCAGCGATGAGATGGGATTTGACTGGCTAAAATTTATGTCAAAAAACTCATTTCTAATCACCATTAGCATTTAGACATTGTCGTTTTTAAGGTGCTATTAAAATGTCGTGAGTTCTCACATGCAAATTATTTAACTGGAGACGTTTTTTAAATACATTTCTAGTTTAGCACCTTAACCTGTTAAAAATTGTCCACGTAATCACATTTTTGCTAAAACTTGAACATCCTAATTGATTAAACGCTGTCTCGTTCTCTGAGACCACTGGGGGATGTTACCTCAATCGATTAGTTTGCATTCACTTCGTTGTTTAATGAAATCCATTTTGATCTCTAATTGACCTTTACCGGCCGAAAATTCGGAATCAATTTCGTGACATCTCGTATTTAGTTATTTTTCACAAAAAACTGACCCACACAAACACGCAAGGACTGTTATTTCACAATTTGTGCGAAGTGGGATGAAAAACATGCGCTCGTCGTAATAGCAACAAGTACTAAAATTGTTCATTTTATCTTGTTATTAAATCAGATATTTTTGAGCGAAAATTATGAGCATTGACACAATCCCAATGTAACCAATCTCTGGTCATGTTGATTAATTAACTGCAGCATGAATTCGCGCCCAATTCGAGGCCGATTTAAACAAATCACAATCGCATTGAG